TTCATCCTCATCATCAGCATCATCTCCTCAATTGTTTACCCTCTTGATAGACTTGGATGCATGTGTATAAAATGGTTGTATGACTGTTTGTTTATATATGCAGAGGAGGAAGGCAAGCAAACATCCACACGCACTTGAACAAACAAACAAACATACATACACATACAAACACATACATACACGTACAAACCCATACATAACCATACATACCATACAAACACATACAAACACATACATATACATAAGAACACAGATACTTATACATACATACATATGCATACACATACAACTTCCGCCAACATACATACATATACAAACAAACAAACAAACATATATATTACACACACACGTACAAACAACTAAACAAATGCACACATACACTAACAACAGATATAGAAATGAATTAAACACATAAAACAAACATAAGAACACATGCGTGCTATCAAGTCGTGTTCAAAAACACATTCATAGACACACGTACCAAAAAGCTCATACACACACACATACAAGCACGCACACACACATACACTCACGCACACACACATACACTCACGCACGCACACATACACTCACGCACATACACACACACATACAAACAAATATTCAAACAGCTTTCTCATGGCTTTCTTACGATTAGATCAAACTTACTACCGAGCAGATAGAAAATTATTAAAGAAAATAAATTCCAATTGAGAGAAACAAAAACATTCGAGAAGAATAAATAAGCCCGAAGACATTCGAACTGTGAGGTATTTTAATTAATTTCATTTGTTGATACTTTTGTAAGCAAGACCATTCCATGTAAAGTATCATACAGTACGAATGTGTGACGTACGTACATACAACACTAACCACCAACGAGAGTACCTCAGACAACGGATGCATCGTATACCCAATTTACGAAACTCTTACCACAAAATTTCACAGAATTTAAAATTTTTGACACATATTCAAATGATTCATACGTATAAAACCGGCCCAGTGTTAAGTTGATAAGAAAAAAAAGAAAACTCATGAGAGACTTAAAAAGCTTCAAGAATAATTGTTTTTCGTCACAAAAATAATATTTTGTAATTAGACATACGTTGCTCGTTTGAGTTTTGTTTTGCTGTGGAACTAAGGTAGATAATCCAAATAACATACCACAACACTAAATACAATTTATTTGTATTTGTGTTTGGATGTGCGTATGAATACACGCGCAACTCTGTGTGTGTGTGTTTGTGGAAGTGTATGTCTGTGCATGTGCTGCACATATAAGCACATATACAGCATATAGGTGTAGTTGAAAATGGATGAACTGAACAGTTTTTTGAGAGTTTGACGCTACATCAACTCGTCAGATGTCAACGAGCAAATGTATGCAATCGTAAGCGAGCGTTCATTTAAACAAACTTTGGTAGCAGCACGACACAGGCACATGAAGAGACACACACATCTCTCATACTTGCACTCGAGACGTTTTCAGAGAGTTAGTTAGTTAGTGTATCGATTCCTACGCGTGCATTTGAAGTTCGACGACCAGAAAGTTTGATGTGAAGAATAAAAACAAATGGCTGCAATTTAAGACGCAGTTCAATTTCTACTTCACCCGAACTCTATTTTCTAAGTTTTAAAATAATTTTACCAGCGAGACTGAAAAAAAGCAATTTTTTTAAATCTTTTTTATCTTCATTTCGCACCTACAAGCAAAGTTTAGTGGCTTTGAGATTCTCTTGAACTTGGTTGCAATTGAGTTTTCTGCACATGTGTGTGTATCCCAAGGCAGGCATTGACCTTCCTTGATGGCTAGGTGCAATCATTGTATCAGAAGAATGGAATATGCGATGACATTTGAGTAGCAACAACAACAACAACAACAGCTTCAACAAATAACATTAACAATATCAACAACAACAACAACAATAACATCAACGAGGAATATGACACGTGTAGAAATTATTATTTGTGGCAATGAAAAATATCGCATGAATTAGGAAAATGTCGATACAAATTGCAAAATCCATATAAAAATATCTGTAACAAAAATTTTTTTTCATTGACAACCAACAAAACAGCAAACCAACCAACCATCTAACCACCAACCAACAAACCAACCAACCATCTAACCACCAACCAACCAACCAACCAACCAACCAACCAACCAACCAACCAACCAACCAACCAACCAACCAACCAACCAACCAACCAGCCAGCCAGCCAACCAACCAACCAATCAACCAACCAACCATCAACCAACTAACTATCCAACCAACCAACCAACCAACCAGCCAGCCAGCAGCCAGCCAACCAACCAACCAACCAACCAATCAACCAACCAACCATCAACCAGCTAACTATCCAACCAACCAACCAACCAGCCAGCCAACCAACCAACCAGCCAACCAACCAACCAACCACACCATGCTGCCAATCCATTTATTGATTCATTTCAAAACGCAATCCATGGAAACAAAATGTTTATACGTTCTATCAAAACGCACACGAGAACATTAATAAAACACATTAACAAACTCACATAGATAAACAAGCACACATACACACACAAACACACACACACACACACATATACATACAAACAATCACACGTTTGTACACAACAAATTTAAAATATTTAAACATGCGTGAAAATCTAGGCCGAAAGCTTCATATTTTTGTTGTACGTACATAAATACATATGTGGAAAAAAAACCGCAAGGGCATTTTTCATTCCAAGAAGGTTAAAGGTCAATGTCCGCCAATACGATGAGGTCATTCTCAACAATCGCATCTTTTACGCTGGAAAAGTTATGCTGCTCCATTGGTCTGGTCTAACATTATTGTGGATCGGTTGCATGACGAGACTAGCAACGTTGATGTGCAATTTCAAAACGTGAAAAAACCAACCAGCCAGGCCAACCAATCAATCAACTAACAAAAAATTAACCAGCCAATTAACCAACCAATGTACTTACTAGCCAACCAACCAATCAACTTACCAGCCAACCAACCAATCAACTAACCAGCTAACCAACCAGTCAACCAGCCAACCAACCAATCAACTTACCAGCCAACCAACCAATCAACTAACCAGCCAACCAACCAGTCAACCAACCAATCAACTTACCAGCCAACCAACCAATCAACCAACCAACCAGTCAACCAGCCAACCAACTAACCAGCCAACCAACTTATCAACTAACCAACTAACCAACCAACCAACCAACCAACCAACCAGCAAGACAGCACAGCGCATGATGGCATGCTAGTGGTTTGATTGATTGGGGTCAGTCAGCATTTAGCTGTTTGTCGAGTTCGTTTTGGTTAGGCTTGAGAAAGATAAGATGATGGTGATGATAATGATGGCACTGATGACGATGAAGATGACACTGATGATGATGATAAAAATGTAGAAAAGAAAAAAAGATGATAAGTATAACGATGATGAAAATGATGACGAAAATGATTAAAGTGAGCAATGATGTTGAAGAAGTTGATGATGCTGAAAAAATTGACGGCTTTGAAGATGACAACAGTGCAGATTAAATAGACTGTGATATAATACTGGCGTCAGCTAACATGACACTTAGTGATGTTGGTGTCAATAAGAAATGACATTAAGTTACGAATGACGATGATTGAAAAGATGTTAAGCAGGAATGACCCTGACAGTCTTAAATAACGGTGAAATTAGGACATAAAACGTTCATGATTATAACGGAAATGCCACTGAATTAAGAATTACGTTGGAAAATGATAAATAGAGCGCCAAGATGAACGAATGAAAATAGTTAACACATGTGTAAACACAATTTTATGATTAAAAATTAATCTAGTTATGTTTCTAGAGCAGGTCTGTGGGACGAGAGAATCATGATAATTAGTTCAATTTTCTTCATTCTATCATTTTCCTAGAATCGTTCGTTGGCTTGGCTCAAATTTCGAAATTTCGTTTGGGAAGTTGATCAATAAGTATGTTGGATGCAGGCAGAGGTACGTGTGGTGTGTTTTTTGTGGTGTGTTTTTGGGGTGTGTTTTTTGTGGTGTGTTTTTTGTGGTGTGTTTTTTGTGGTGTGTTTTTTAGTGTGTCTTTTGGGGTGTGTTTTTTTGTGGTGTGTTTTTGTCACGTGTTTTTTGTGGTGTGTTTGTTTGTGTGTTGGCCGGTGAGTTTTGTGGTCTTTGTTGGTGTGTTATGATGGGTCGTACGTACATTGCATGTGTGTCGCCTGTATTGAATGTGTGTTTATTGAAATAAATTTCACTAGAATGTGACTTGATGTATTCCTAATTGGTTGTTTGTATCTTGGAAGTTTTTAAATCGTAATAACTGTGTGAACTTTTGCTAGTTAGGTTTAGGTGTAAGTAATATGTGTTTTATCGAAGTGTTGTTGTTGTGGTGATTTGGAGTTGTGTTGTTATTTAAGGTTATTTTGTTTTAACGAAGAGCTCATGTGCAGTTTAACACGGTGCAATTGTTAATTGCTTCGTTAATAATGAAGTTTTTTTCATTTTTTTGGTTTCTTTTATTTAAAATTTTTATTTTTATTTTTCGTTCGAAAAAGTTGAATAGAGACGATGTTTTTTAATATAACGAAGTCCTGCATATGATTCAAAGTTGTCAATTGAGAATATCTCAAAATAGCATCAAATGTGATGAGCCGATCATTTTGTAACGAGATAGCTTTGTGTAGTAATCAGACAACGGTGGTCATTTACACGTTCTTCTTGTACATTCAATTGTTAAAACCACTCACCCATTTATCATCACCATACTTTGCATCATCATCCTCACCAACACGCCACCCATCTTCATCATTATCATCATAACTATCATCAGTATCATCATCATCACGAATTCACAATCACTATCATCATCACATAATTAACATGATCACCACAAACACCACCACCATCACCAACACAATTGCCACCACCATCGTCGTCATAATCACCACCATCATAGTCGTCGTCATCATCATCATCATCATCATCATCGTCATCATCATCATCATCATCAGAACTCACTGCAGGCAGAAAGGGTGCATTGTAGGCGAGTGGTGTGTACGGGGTGATGGTGATGGGGTTGATGACATTGAGTGGTAGGGGGGCAATCTTCCTCATCCTTCTCTCGTTTTCGGTATCGGCCAGCTTTACTACTAAACTTGATGTGGCTCCCTGTGTGGCGTGTTTGTGGTGTGGTGGCGGGCTGTGGTGTGGTGTGGTGGCGTGTCTGTGGTGTGGTGGCGGGCTGTGATGTGGTAGTGGATTGTGGTGTGGTGTAGTGGTGGGCTGTAATGTCATATGGGGTGGTGTGATGTGGGTTAGGCTATTATTGTTTTTGTTTTGTTGTTAATGTTGTTGTTGTGTTGTTGTTGTTTTTGTATTGTTTGGTTGGTTGGTTGGTTGGTTGGCGGATAGATGAAAAACATGAAAGATATCTTTAAAAAAACAAACATTTTGAAGTTACGACATATAAAAAATGTTTTTTCACCATAATTTACGAAAAATAAATTGAAAAATTGAAAAATTATTTACACACAATGACAGCAAATTGAACAAAAACCCCCAGCAATTCGACATCAAATGCAGACATCATTAGTCATGAAGAAGATGGCAAGCAAAATAATTAAATTGCTTTAATACAATGAAAGTGTTCCTTGAAAAACAAAATAAAACGATAAATTGAAACATCACGGAGAAAAAAATTTTTGAAAATTTTTTAGAAGAATTCTTTTGCCACGTAATTCAATTAATGTTTTAGTTGCTGAAGTTTTCAAAAAATTTTATTTAATGTACTTCATTGTGTGAGCTAGCTAGGTGAAGAGCTGATGATGCTAATATGGATGGTGGGATGATATTAAAATTTATAGAATGAAAAATACTCACACACACACACATACACACACTAACACACACATACTAAACACACACATGTATACACACAAATAAACATCACACACACACACATAAACACACACACAAAGACACACACACACACACACACACACACACACACACACACACACACACATGAAAACCCAAATAATCAGCCAGTCACAAACAAACAATCACATACACATACACAAACAGACATATAAAAACACACACAGACACACATTCAAGCAGTTACACACTCACATCATAGCGTGCAGTAAACAATGTACCAGATCAATTAACGTTTCAGCGTCTGACTCCAGTCTGTTTCAATTCTACATGTTTATTTAATTTTTTTTTTACACATAATTTCATAAGTGTTTGTATGAGAAAAAAGGAGAAGAGAAAGAGAGAAAGAGAGAGAAAGAGAGAGGGAGAGAGAGAAAGTGAGAAAAAGAGAGTTAATGAAAGTAGGGAAGAGTAATAGAGAGAAAGAGGAAATGAGAGGGGGAGAAATCAGTATAAAAACGTTAGGTTATGGTCTCAAATAAATTAAAAGAGACTTTTAAAATGAATTCAAACTACATCTTTGTTGCTACAAATTGTTACAAGTTGCTACAAATATCCTTTTAATGGAGTTACAACTCTACAAGCAAATAGTTACATCACTTAAATTTACGTCCGTTGTCTATAATGTTTGCTCGTTTTCCTATTCGTCTGATGAAATCTGTAATAATATCAAAAGCATTGAAAGGTAAAATATATAATTTGCATCACAGATAAACTACAACTCGTTTGTATTTATTGAATATAAAATATAAAACAACGTTATCTTGGTAATGTTACAATTGAGCAATACAGCCTTCATAACAACGTCTTGAATGTATTCATTCCAGTTCAGTTTGCTTGCAAAGAAAACCAGATAGATCTTGTGTTTTTAAATTTCAGCTGGTCTATAAAATTATTTTCATTCCATATAACCCCATTGAAGACCATTGAATAACCATTGAAAAATTATAACATAAATTTTGTTCTTACTTTTATTTTTAAAATTATATTATACATTTTTGGTATTTTGGTTTATATATTATTTTTATAAATTTTATGATTTTTGTATTTAAAAGTAGCAACATATTTAGTCTTCGCCGTATTCAATTCGGATGCAGTAATTGAAATAAACATTACCACCATCACAAACAACCATCATCATTAAAACCACCAAGCACCATCACTTCCACCATGTCTTGGTTATCATCATCATCCGCATCATCATCATCACCATCACCACACCCATCATCCTCAATATCACTCAATCTCATCATCATCGTCGTCATCATCATCATCAGCACGCCTAATACTAACATTGATGTGTTTTGACAGTGCATGCAAATTGTAATATATTATTCTTTGAAAGCTTCATATATCTCTCTGCCTCTCCCTCTCTCTCTCTCTCTCTCTTTCTCTCTCCCTCTCTCTTTCCTTCTTTTTTTTCTCTCATTATCTCTTTCTTTTTTAATTTTTGTTCTTCCTTTCTTCCTATATTACTATCCTTCTTATCTCTCTTCATTTCACTCTTTTATGCGTTCTTTATTCCACATTTTGCTAGCTCTTTTTTTTGTTCTCTCTCTCCCCTTTCTTCTCTTTTTTTTCTCTCTCTCTCTTTCTCTCTCTCACTCATCTCTCCATTTTCCCATATTCTTCTTTTTTTTATTTCCTAAAAAGCTGACCTTTAAAAGGAACAACGTACCTTTAAATATTGGAAATATTTTTAGAAGATAATATTATTTTGTTATTCTTCTATTGTATGAAATTATTTTTACTGTTATGGTTTTTGTTGTAGTTGTTGTTGTTGGTTTAGTTGTCGTAGTTGTTGTTGTGGTTGTTGTTGTTAGAGTCGTTGCTATTGTTGTTGTTGTTGCAGTTGTTGCAGTCGTTGTTGTTGTTGTTGTTAGAGTCGTTGTTATTGACTTAATGATGGCTGGCGTTGTTTGTAGTTAATGCTGTTGTTGTTTTTGTTATCAATTTTTTGTATTGTGGTTATTATTGTTGTTTTTTTGTTATTGTTGTATTTTATTATTGTTGTTGTTATTGTTGTTGTTGTTGATATTTTATTTTAATATTGCATAATTGAGTCGTGTAAGCGGTCGGAGTCTGCATTACATCGGATACAACAGCGTTGATGGAACTTTCATCATTCCCATCATCGTCATCATCATCCTTATTACCATCCTCATCATCTTCATCTTCATCTTCATCATCATCTTCATCTTCATCATCATCTTCATCATCATCATCATCATCATCATCTTCTTCATCATCTAAGTCGTAATCATCTGAGTCGTAATCATCTTCATAGTGGTCATATATCATATCATCACAGTCATCAAAAAATCACATTTTTTTTACAACCATCATCATCAAAACCCATTAGCATCTTCAACATCATCCCCACCATTGCCATCATCATCACCACCGTCATAATCATCATCATCGCCATCATCATCATTATCACCACCATCATCATCGCCATCTTCATCATCAGCATTTTTATCACAATTTTCATCATCATAACCACCACCATCGCCATCGTCATCATCACCACACCATCTTCAATCACCCTATCTAGATAATTAAGAGAGACATTATGACGTCATACCGATCTGCCAGGTTCCTACTTCATCATCTGCCCGCCGAAATAAATCATTCGTTTCGTTCTTTTTTTTCATCTTCATTTCAGTCCCCACTGGATTGTCATCACTGAAAGAACACGTCGCCAGTGATTGCCTAATCGCATGGGTGACTATGATATGATGCAATGGCTCAACAAATGCACTCACTCACTCACACTAAAAAATATTACCACCACATGACCA